CAACCACGAAAATTGGGAATTTCATTGACAATTCCCATGGTTGCTAAAAAAAGAGAAGAAGAAGCGAAGGAAATTAAAACGACAATCAACAGAACTGAGAAAAAGGTATTTGAAGGTTATTAAAAAGAAAACTCACGTGCAAAATTACACTTCTCAGGGAAGGGAACATTTTTTTCACCCACTAAACTAACAGTGGGGGCAGCAACAAACCTGGCATACCAGCCACGGTCCTTATCGTCTTCTGGATTAACCAGAACTCTTTTGCTTCTTGCTACTAAAGTAAAAACTCCTTGGGGAAAGAGTCTGGGAGAGTAAAGGTGAATTAAATGGGATAGAGTAAAAGGCACACCCGCCATGTTGGTTAAGTGTCTCAAACAAGCAACGGTCCTCCACACAACAGGGCCAATTTGTCCTAAACAGACGTCGAAAAAATGACAGAATTCGAGGATAACAGGGTCAATAGCAGGTTTGAAACCCAACGTGAAAGGATATGTATAAACAAAAGAAAACCCAATTAAATAAGAGGTAATTCTTTGGTTCGCATTTGGAACTATAATAGGGAAGTCATGTCTCCAATGGCAATCTTTACGAACTAAAGAAATCAGACCTTCAGTAATCTGAGTTGGGTAGATGTCAGCACGATCTAATGAAGACAGTTGGTTTCTGAGAGATTCTCTGTCATTATAAAAAAGTAGTACAACGGGAACAATCTCATCTACAGTGGGTTCACGAAGGGGCTTAGTGGGTTCTTTACTTCTAGACGAAGACCTTTGAGAAAGGGAGCCTCTGGTTCTAGAAGATGGACTGGAACTAGATGAAGGAAGAGAAGAACCACGTGTGGATGAAGACCCTAAATTATGAAGTCTACCTCCTCTTTTGCTCCTACTAGGGGCAAGAGGAAGGTTATCGACAATGGGGACTCTCCTAGGGTTAGGGTTTGATGAAGACATAATAGTACGAGGAAGAAGCAAACAAGAATTGAATATTCTGAGAACTTTATGTGAGAAAGACAAAGGTGAAAACTATATTTATACTTAGAAGCAACCGTCAAAGGAAAAGGTGCAATGATGGAAAAGTCATAATGAGAACTGTCGTTTCGTAATTGGTGAAGCCGTAAAAAAGCCTTAAAAGACGCTGCAAAGTCGCAGAACCAATCAGAAGATGCCATGTGTAATAGGCATTAAATAGAAGTGACAAATGAAGCGTCGATTCCAGAAGAGAATTAATGGCGGCAAATATTCTCGCTTTAATAAAATCCACTTCCCAAATATTCAATTGATGAATAAATGGCAAGTGGGGGGACTATATGTATTGGGAAAAATTGAGTTTATATATATTGAAGTGATTGAAAGATGACATGTTATGACACGTAGATTGGTCAAAGAATGATGATCAGCAAAGAGGCACGAGTTGCAACAGACACGAGCAGAGACACGAGCAGAGACGCGAGCTGAGATTCAAAAGACTCGGCGCTCGTGCCTATTTAAGTTCAAAAGTTAAAGAGAATGAACCTGATAGCAAAAGAGAGTACGGATACAGTATTTAATAGGCATTAATTACTGGAAACGTTATAGAATCTGTATTGAATTACAATGATTATCATTTATAACGTAGCATTAAATGCCTTTAATTGTCTATAATGGCCTTATTATGACAAAGGCAAAACGTATATCTTAGAAATAGCTATAAAAAGGAGAACACTAATCATTTGTAAGGACACGAAAAAGACTATTGAATATACTGATTTACTTCGCTTTCTATTCATCCTTTATTTACATCTATTATTCTTATTTCTATTTGATTATCAGTAACTCGAGTTCTTCTAAAATACGTTTTGACTGAAATTCCACTTTTTGGTTAAACAGACACATATTAAAGTCGTGCCGATCTAAGCCAAAAATGAACATTATCACTAATAGGATAAGCTGTTACAGCTATTAAAATGGACTTGTGAAAGTTTTGTTAAGAAGGGAGGCTTGATGGACCATAATAAATAAATGATATACTATTTCATTGTTGGTGCTATTATTAGAATACCAATAGCTAGTCAAATTGATATTAATTAAAGTTGCAATGTTAGGTTGAAATGTAAGAATATTTGTCCATTGTCACGTTAGCAACAAAAAATGTCTGGTATTTCATTGTTGGTGCGGTTAGGAAACAAATAACTTCTCCGTAGGACCTCCAAAAGATGTGGTGCAGTGGATGAGACTGCTATTTCCTTAACAAGAGGTTTCGAGTTCGTGCCCTGGTTATGGAAAAATCCTTGGCAAGGAACGCTTCTCCCCGAATGGAGCCCTACGCAGCACGAATCAGAATATAGTCGGGCTCCAATACGGGTACCGGACACCGGGTGGAAAAAAATATCTCCGTAGGGATGAGCATAGAAAGGAGGTGAATTTTGTACGAGAAAAATATTTAGTCGCATCTAATTTTTATATATCAAAAAATACATATCTTGCAGTAATTTAATTTGATGTAAACACTAAATACGAATAAGTTTCCACAACAACCAATTATTATTAAGGTAAGATAAATTGAATTATCATGTACTCCATAAAACACACATGCATATTCTTGACACACTTTTATCCAACAAAATTGAATGGTCGTTACTCATTAGTCGGTAGTCCATATACATCTTTCATTCCTTTTTCTTTTCAGCTTTAACTTTAAATTGAATCAAATACCAACAAAAGAAAAAGTAAGTGGGGACTATCCAACTCTGCAGACCCCCAAGATCTAATCAACGACAAAGCCCAAATATACTCATATACTATGAGAAAATGTTAAAATATACTTTTCGTTATATTTTGAGTTCAAATATATTGTTATTGTAATATTATTGGTTTAAATATACCCCTCGTCTGTTAAATTTATCCTAAGTGGTGGCACTAATATTTGATGAGCTGGATATCACATGGTATACCACCTCAGCGCCCCTAATCCATATATAAAAGACTAAAACTTGAAATACAATATTTTCATGGTAGCGGTATTGGTGGCAATAGTGATGGTGGGGAAGAAAATTTTAGTGGAAAAAAAAATTGAAGGGAGGGGTAAAATGGGTTAGGGGCACTGAGGTGGTAAGCAATATGGCACCCACCCCATCAAATGTCAGCGCCACTTAGGATTGGATGTCCACCTTGGACAAACTTAACGGAAGAAGGGTATATTTGATCCAATAGTATAACGACGGAGGTATATTTGGACTCAAAGTATAACGAAAGGTATATCTAAATCTTTTCTGATAGTACAGGGACATATTTGACCATTTTCCGTTTAATCAATGAAGCAGAACATGTATCTTTGAACCACAACTTTTACCATTTAATCATAATTAATTAAACTATATATAAAATTGCCAAAATTAAAATATTTGATGAAATGATATAAACGTTGAATGCGGACAAACATTTACCATACACAGTTACACACTCTCCAAACGTTAGTTGGAAATTCAGATTCCTCGTTGAATATTTTAAGTCACTTAATCTACTTCTATTTTTCATATTCCAGAATAAATTGAACAATTTTTTTTATATTGTTCATGTAGTCATTAAGTTATAGATTCATGGAAAATAAATACTTAGATTGCAAAATCGACAAATCCAAGGCGAAATTCAATTGATGCGACTCAAATCTCAATGTTCTTGGAAATAGTTTTGCATCGGATCGGCTGATTAATCATGGCAAGCGTACTTCTCTAACATATGTTTTCAGATTCTTCTTTACTTATGTCAACCTTATAAAGAATATACAATTTATATTATCCGTCTGTTAAATTTTTTGAATTCTTCTTTAAAAAAATATTTAATACTTAATTAATCACAAAAATATTTGTCTAAATCACTCTTGGGTCTCCTTACTTATGCATCCCACTTAAATTAATAGTAGACGTCATATATTTTGAAACAAATTCAGTTTATTAGAACGACTAATATATGAAACCGGAGGGAGTAAATAACCTAAATATGAAGTGAGCTCGTGAATAGTAGAAAAAATTTCCATTTCCTTTTGCTCACCGTGAGCAAAACAGAAACAATTGCATTTGATTGGATATGAAGTACATAGGGTATGAGTTTTGAATTAAAGTCACCATTAAAGGAACTTGAAAACTCAAATCAATAAGTGAGATGTTGAAGATCTAATCTTGAAATCATCTGGGTATTTAAATATGAAATTTCAGGTTTGTTAATTCAAATTTATTTGACTGAAATCCTTGGACCTGCATTCCGAAACATGATTGAGCATTGTTCGGGAGCGTAAAACTCGAAGAAGCATCTGGAGCTCAATTATTGTGTTCAAAGATACGAGTCTGAGTCTGAAGTCTAGGACTGCAGGGCCAAACTTCATACATTATCGGGCCAAACTTCAGATATTACCAGGTTAAACTTTCTCTGAAGTTTGCAATTGTCACGCCAGACTTGAGAAAAAATGATCTGATGAAGTTTGCACAACAAATTGAAGAACTTCAGACTAATTGTCTGAAGTTTGCACTATGAAGTGAAGTTTTCCTGATTATCTTTGCAAGTTAGGCCAAACTTCAATGAAAATATTTTGAAGTTTTGCTTTAATAAGGCCACACTTCTGGCAAAAAAATCCTAAAGTTCAAACTTCAGACATACACAATTTAAGCTTTACAACAGAATCTTGGCACTATGAACTGAAGTTTGCCTGATTGCTTTGCAAGTCAGGCCAAACATTCAGGCAAAAATATCTAAAGTTTTGCTTTGATAAGGCTACACTTCAGGCAAAAAATTCTGAACTTCAAACATAAATTTTTGCTACTTCAGCCCCGTATGTCTAAAGTTACCCGAAAAGTGGATAGACTTACAATTTTTTGTGCAAATCCCCCAACATCGTTAATAGTAGGAATATTTTGTTTGATGTTTAATAGATTAATGGTTTCGATAATCTTTAATTCACTGCAACTCTCCTCCTTTATTCAAATTTAAAACTGGCTATGCAAAGCTCATATAGATGAAGTTAAATATATAAAAAATAAATGAATGAACAAATTGACCAAAAATCTCTTAGCTATTCAGCAAGCAGAGACCTAAACATTACAACTTTCTTTTTCTATGTTTCTATAAATCTATTGTTTGCAACAATTGGTTAAGTTACAAAAATTTGGGCAAAAAATTGCTGCAGACAGCATTTCACAGGAACATATCAGATGTCATTTCAGAACTCTCAAAATCCTACTGAATGTTCAGTTCTTACAAAATATTCTTTGGCAAGGGAAATGACTTCAGCCCTATTTCTTTCGATACAGGGGTCGGAAAATACCTCGACGATTTATGCAACTTCAAATTGATAGCAGGAACCTTACGGGCGATAGCTTGCCAGACCATTTGAACTGCATCATTGTCCTTGGAAGGATATCGATACTCAAACAGATTTTCGATCTCTTTTAACCTCGCCCACATTCTAGTCCACTCTTCTTTTGTGATGCTCCTTATGAAGTTTATGAGGTAATTTTCTTTGAGAGCATCTGATGTACGGACGAATATGCAGAACTCTGAATAGTCAAGAACATCTTCATAGGGAAGCTCGATTTCATCACTAATGATGACTGGTACACAGTGACTCGCGATAGCATCAAAGAGACGGTTTGATGACGGAGTGTCACCTGCGATGTTAAGACAGAATTTGGAAGAGTGCATGCCTTGAGTTGCTTGTTTTACTCCATTTTTCAGAATACTACCAAAGGAGAAGTGAACATCTTTCTCATCTTTCAGCATATAGAATAACTCTTGTCGAATAGTTCCACCCTGAGGATGAAAAATAAGACTTAGAAACTAGAGCACAATGAAAGAAAGGAATTAGAAACAGGAAAAAGAGTAACCAAATAGCCAGGGTATAGTCTTGATAATCTTGCTCAAGTTCAAGATACAAATTCCTGGGGATTTAGAGAGCAAAGTCTTGAGGATCTCAGACTCTATGTATCACAACGATAACCAATCTTGGCAATTAAATGAACCAAAACTATGGTTCGGGCATCCACAATTGCATAGATAGTCTGGTATATCTTCGTGTAAGTAGTAAAAGAGAAATCAGGGTAACCTTCTTTGAATCTAATCCAGATTCTAGAACTTGCAACATGATGATATCAAATTAACTAGATTCAGTGCTCAGTCCATGAGTGCGGATGGACACTTAGTGTAGAATACATGCCAAAAGATACAATGTAGCTTTGTTAAAATGAATCCAAACGACTGACGAATATAACGGATACAGAAACATTCCACTTGGAAGAATATATGCTAGCAAAAAGTTCTAACTTTTGCTGTTTTGCTTTATTTCGATAAACAGTGTTTTGGACTGCAGCCAACAACCACAGGGAAAAAAAAGGGATAGTGAAATCAAAACAGAAGAGTTGATCCTGATGACAAGCGATCAGTTTCAGTTGGTCCGCTATGTATCGTGTTGCTTATGTCCTCCCCATGTAACAACACCTGAGCCTTCCATGTGATATTTTATTTTTGGGAACTTGGAGTTGTAATTCCATTAACTTTTTTTTTTTCAAGTTATAAGAACTAAATAAACAATTGAGGCTGTCTCTTAAGCGATCATGCCTCGATCTTCTGGATAGATATTCAAAAACCCAAGCTATCAGACAGTTGCCACTAAATTACTATCTGCCTAATCATTCCCCTAAATTTGTTTGCTGATTGCTATAATGCCACAGTATGCTATTTCATAAGTCACTAATACGGACATGGCGTGGAAGAACTCTTTTTATAAGCACAACACAACGAGTCCATCAAATGAAGTGCCTGACTTTTAGAATGCATAAACTAAAGAGCATTTATCCAGCGAAGTACATTCACGAAACCAAAAGATAAAGTAATTCTTGTACATTTGTACTAACCATATTAATTATTGTACCTCCTATAAAGCTTTTGCAGGTCCGAGATGCTGAATCTCATTATGATTCTTCAAATTCTAACCAGAAAAGGCTATGCTGCTCATTATATCACATATCTCATCAAGTTCTATTCCTAAAGTACATCTCTACTTTTAACCCAATCTATCACAAATCATCTTGCTTCACATCATCCAATTTAGCATCCAACTCCAACCCTATATTGATCCAACTCCTCCCTCCCCGTCGAAATAAATGCACAACATATAATAGATGTAATTACTTAACTATTATCATTACCAGTTAAATCAGAGAGCAATAGTTAACAGAAGAGTAAATGCAAAAACAACGACTTACATCTTTTCTGTAGATAGCTCCCTGGAAGTAGAGCAAAGTTGGTCGACTATCAAAACCAGAAGTGTCATTGTCATAGTTCCTGATTACATGCTTGTAAGGTGCAATCACGTCCTTCTCAACATTAGCTATTGTGGGAGGATACCTTCCAAAGTCTGAAAGTACAAAAATTGCAGGCCAAAGCTTCATTCTTGCATCCAAAAGGCTATTCGGATGGTGTGCAACAATGATATGATCTTTTCCTCCTGTTCTTTTCCATTCCTCTTGAGCAGTCAAAAACGCAACTAACTTTTCCTGTAACAACACGTTCGTGCTAGTTTTCTGCCCTGGCTTAAGCTTTGAAAACCGATTATAACTAATCGACGAAAAGAAAGGAACAAATACCACATCAGCTTCACTTGAATTATGCACTCTTATAGCACTTCGACCATTCAAATTATCATCAAACTCAGAAGACAAAAGATCCAAAATCAACCAATATTCGATACTGTGCTGCAAGTTTAGTCCACCGGGATATTCAGGAACCGAATTCCTGATATCAGGCCAAACACTCTTCCCCTCAGATTTCCATCCCAATAATTCAAAATGAAATTGTGGGGGCAGGTTATACATAAAAACTTTGAGCACTTGTTTACTAGGACTGCACTTAAACAAATTGTACTTTCTCAATGTTCCTTTGTTAGAATAATCAATTTGAGCACTGGATTGTGTATAACCTTCATCGGATAAAGCAAGAATCTTGGACTTTGGTAATATATTAAGGTAAAATAAGTGTCTCCGGGAAGTTGAACGCAGCACAAATAACAAAGATAGCATGAACATAACAGAAGTAATTGCAAACATACTAAATAAGGATTTTCTACCAAAAATTCCCATAGAATGTACATTTCTCTCTGCCATTGTAATTCTATTTCAGTGAGTAAAAACTAATACGTATATGTTATAAAGCTATCATTTTTGCAAATATAGCCAAGAACATTATAATCATTCATTCTACACAAAACTAAATGATATTCCTCATTCAGCTCACACCAAAAATCATGTCTTTGTCCTTTTCCTAGGCATTTTTCACAACATCAATACCAAAAAAAAAAAAATGTATGAATAAAATGTTAGACCCTTTAAGGGGAGGGGAAAAAGATGAGAAAGAAGAAGAAAAATGGGTTCTTGAATACCAGTAAGAGAAATTTGTGAATAGAGGTGAATGTGGATATGAGAAATGAACAAAAAGCTAAGATTTTTGAAACCCAGATCAAGAAATTGAAAACCCAGATCAGAATTTGATTCCAATATGTTGAAGAAATGGAACAAAAGGACAAAGAGGAGGATAGAGTAGTTTCACCAAATACAAAGGGTTACTTCCAATAAACAACTCCCGTTTCTTTTGTCTTCAGGTAAAAAAATGTAAAAGATACTCGAAATGCAGCGAGGGAATAGCCGAATGGGGAATCTTCTCTGTAGAAGCGGGCTCATTGGTTTTGCTGACAACTCAGGTACTTATATTATTTACTGCTTTTGTAATTACTCTTTTTTCTTTTTCTTTTATCCAACCGATGTTTGCTACCAATCACTTTTGGACCCGGATTTGCGAGGTCTAGTTATCTTTTTTTTTTTTTTTTCCACCTGATATTCGGTATCTATATTGAAGCCCGACTATATTCGGATTTGTGCCACGTAAAACCCTATCCGAGGAGAAGTGCTCCCTACCAAGGAATTTTCCATGCCCAGAGCTCGAACCGAGATCTCTTATTAAGGGAAGAACGGTCTCATCCACTGCACCACATCCTTTGATTATTAGTTATCTCTTTCAGTTTTATTTTATGTAAATTTATTTAATTAGGCATGAATTTTAAGGTTAAATAGAGGCAGGGTTAGGATTTAATGTTTATGATTTTTAAATTTACCATCAAACTCACAGTCCATTTTAATTATTAAATTTGCAATTAAATATTTATGCATATTATTGGGTTCATCTGAATCCATCCTTAATACTCTAGTTCTACCCCTACTTTTTAAACTTGTGATCTTGTATATGATGGAACATTTGTTTGATTATAACAGTTTTAGAATATACGAGGTTTTAAAAGTATCATAATATTTGTGTTATTATAAACATTTGAAAATTGAGGATAAATTGTTTTCGAATTTACAAATATAGTTTTTGGAATAGATTAAGAAGAAAATATAGCCATATAAACGGAACGAAGAGAGTATATATTATTTGTTGTTCAAATATAGGTAGTAATTTTTTCTTGGGCAAGTTACACATTTGGCTGATCACCCAAAAATAATTACATTCAATAATCAAATATACAAAAAATATATACAGATTATGTATAAAAATATATATTATGCATTAAAAATATAAGAAATATATATTTTACTGACTATTATATTTGAAAGCGGCTATACAATATAGTTTCTTTTCTTCTTTCTTCCTAGTTTTCTTTCAGTCAGATGTAGTTTCAACTTTAAGTTCAACAAAAGCAATATGAGTTTGTAAGTATCCCAAGACTCACATTTATTACTTAGCTAACCGTGAATATTAAAGGTATTTAAACGATTATTAAGGTTAAAAAGTTGATGTAAGGATGAGCAGATCTTTAAATATGGATCTGGTTTACCTAAAGGTGAGCTTAATCCACAAAAAACATAAATTTAAGTCTTCATAACTGAATCTATTTTTAAAGAAAAGCTTTATTATATACTTGAAAGTTTAACAAGAAGTAAGATGATAAATCTTATACCTTGTCCTTTTTATATGTCACTCTAACCGAAAATCACATTAGTAAACGAAGAAGGTATTGCCTTTTTTTCTTTTTGTTTTTCCAACTGCACCCTAATTATAACTTCAATAAAGCATATAGGTAATAGGATCATTAGGATAATTACAATCATATTTGTGAGTGACAAAAAAAGTTTCTCTCTCCTCTCGTTTCTCTCTCGGTGCACGTTTAGCGTGAAGTGCTATCCTGCGCCCACTGAAAATGGGGAGGGCTCGAGGGCGACTGTCAAAAGGTGCAAAGCAATCTCAAGATGAGGACAGGGGAGGCTCGTCGAGCTTTGTGGCCTAAAGCTAAATTTTATGAGGGCCTTAACTTTTTTATATTAAAAAAAGTATTTATTTATTTGAAGTCTATTTTTCTAGCGTTTCTTAGATACAAAGTTATTAATAATTTTCTTATAGTCAATAACTCCTAATAAGGCTTTCTTAAGTGACAATATAGCTAATCCATTTAACCTTTCTTGAGAAATTATTGATCTTAGGTAAGATTTTATCAATTTTAATTTTGGAAACTTCTTTCCGCTGAAGCGACGATAACATGAGTTATTAACAGTATTCCATAAGCAATAAAGCCATTGGAAAAAGAATCAAATATTTTTATTTGATCGTGTGTATCAGTTAAACTGTTATCTTCTAATTGTACTATTTTCCTTAATACTTTTAATTCTGAAAATAAATCTAAACCATCAATATCGAATTGATTATTATGCTTTAATGAACCTTCAAGATTAAGGCAATATTTCTTCAAATTTTCATCATCAAGTTATCTTAATTTTTACCGCCAAAATAGAAAACCAAAAATATTTTCATATGCTTCGAATTGTTCAAATCTATTTTGAAGTGAAAACATAGCCTTGTCTACTATGTATATAATCAACTCCAAAGGGCTCTTCGAAGATTTTGAGATGTTATTATCAACATTCTCATCAAATTTTTACTTCCTTTATATTACATGTTTCTTATGAAATTCGAGTTCGATATTCATTTCAAGTGCAATTTTCTTGGCAGAAATTATAGCGGTTGCAAATCCTTCTTTTTTATACTTGTTAAAGAAAGAAATCAAACTTTTCACTTCACATAACCTTTTTTAAACTTATACATAGCCTATTAGATGTAACAAAAAATGGGGCCCCCACAAATGTGGGTCCTAAAGCAGTTGCTTTACTTGCTTTATGGAAGGGCCGCCCCTGGAGGAGGACACCAATTTCATGGAGGAGCGAAGCTCTGACACAGGACATGGGGTACCACCAAAAACCCTATTGATCGGAGGGATTATTGCTAGCCTTTCGACAAAGATAGGGGTAATTGGGAACAATACCACCAGTAATATATAGAAAGTGATTGAGGAACCATCGGGCACTAAGGGAAAGGAGAATTTGAATGGCAGTCCGGAGATATGGCCGACCCTTCCTATGCGAAGTGAGGACACCAGAACCCCAACACCTGCATGGATGACTCCGGAGGCCATACGAACGGATCTGAGCTCTAAGAAAATGGGGCAAGCACAGACTGAAAGTGATAGAACCTCAATTGAAGCAATTCCACCTTTCTCAAAGCGACAAAGTGAATGAAATAATAACAAGCAATGGGAGAGTACAACGTAAACTATAGTTGGAACTAGGGCAACCAAGAGGAAAGGCATGGATGACACTATTTGAGGAGAACAAATTGGCATCAAGAGGTATGGATTTGACTTTTATACCTCCTGTGATTGTTGAAGGAGAGAAGATTGTGGAATTGGTATAGGAGGACATTGATAGTGACATTAAAAATGGAAATATGATGCAATTGCATATGTAATTGGTGGTTCACCTAAAATTGGGGCTATGGAGCGGTTTATAGCAACACAAGGGAAGTTCACATCAAAACCAAAGGTGTATTATCACAATGATGGGTATTTTGTGATAAACTTTTCATGTATGGAAGAGAGAAATTTGGTGATGTATGCATGACCTCACATGTTGAACAATCGACCAGTAATTCTCAAGCCTTGGACCATAGATTTCAATTTTGATGCAGAAGATTTGAAGACAATCCCAATTTGGGTAAATCTGCCTAATCTCCCATTGAGTTGCTGTAGTGCAAATGCTTTAAGTAAAATTGGGAGAGAATTGGGCCAACCCATATATGCTGATGCTTGTACGTCAAATGCAAATAGGATCTCATATGCTAGAATTCTTGTAGAGATTGATGTCACCAGGGAGCTTCCAAAAGCCATCAAAGTTAAGGATCCTAAAGGGAGAGTGATTGAGCAAGAAATATGGTATGACTGGAAACCAACATACTGTGAAAAATGTATACAAATTGGCCACAATTTTCAAAAGCAACAGAAAAAACAACCACCTATGGAGAACAATTGTCACGACCCGGATTTCCCACCTTCGGGAGTCGTGATGGCGCCTACTAGTGAAATCTAGGCAAGCCAACCAATTGAATCATTTACCTTGTTTCTATTTTAATCCGTTAACAATTAAGAACCAACGTTTAATAAACAACAGAATTTAATAAGCGGGAGTCTGAAAAAAATAATGTTTTAATAATGCCACCAATACTAATCCATAACAAAACTACCCAGAACTGGTGTCACAATTTCACAGACTGTCTAGGAATACTACAAATAAAGGCCTAAAAGATTTAAAACAACATTGTCTTTGGAGTACATGAAAGAAACAGAATGAAAGGATAGAAGGAGACGACAAGGCCTGCGGATGCCTGCAGGACTACCTCGGGTCGCCTGGTGAACTGGAAGCAGCAACCTCACTGCAGTCCGAAAACTACAGTATCGGGATCTGCACAAAAGAGTGCAAAGTGTAGTATCAGCACAACCGACCCCATGTGCTAGTAAGTGCCTGGCCTAACCCCGGCGAAGTAGTGACGAGGCTAGGACTAGACTATCAAATAAACCTGTACAGTTAAATCATATACAGCGGAAATAAAGGCAGATATTTACAGTTAAAGATGGGAGGGGGAAAACATGCTGCGGGGAGTATCAGATAACAACAGAACACCAAAGAGGAATGTGGAGAAACCAAAATTCAATTGCTAACAAGAATAAGAGAAACAAACACAGTATTCTAACAAGGATAAGAGAAACAAACACAATATTCACTTTCATCTCTTTCTTGTTGCAGGCGTGCAACCCGATCCCATTTCAAATATCTTGTTGCAGGCGTGCAACCCGATCCCATTTCAAATATCTTGTTGCAGGCGTGCAACCCGATCCCATTTCATATATTTTCGTTGCAGGAGTGCAACCCGCTCCCATTTCATATATTACCGTTGCAGGCGTGCAACCCGCTCCCATTTCATGTATCAACACCAATCATAGAAGAATCCCGGCAAGGGAACAATAATACAACAACAACATCCCGGCAAGGGAACAATAATATAACAATAATATCCCGGCAAGGGAACAATAATATATCAACAATATCCCGGCAAGGGAATATATTAACAACATCCCGGCAAGGGAACAAGAGTATAACAACAACATCCCGGTAAGGGAGACAATATCATAAACAATAGCATCCCGGCAAGGGAACCAACAATGATAATCATCATATTAGACATGGATAATCACAACGGAGTCACAACAATTACAATACTAGACTCACGGGCATGCTTGACACCGACGTATAGATACTCGTCACCATGCCTATACGTCGTACTCCACAATTAAC